TTCCAAGCATCAACTGCTCTTTCAGTAAAATAATACTTTCTAAGCTTAGTTTTGAACTTTCCTCCAGTTTGTTGTCATGTCCCTGTGTTCTTGATTTTGGTTTCATATTGAAAATACTGCCCTTTAGCATTCATTCATTAACAACCTCCCGCCCACTTTATACTAGGTCCACTTTATACTATGTAGTACAGTGGATATAGAAAAAAATCGCCCCCTTTTTAAAATAATCAAATTTTGTTGCGTTTTATCCAGCTATATGCAACTTATAGCATCCAAGTGGAAGATATAACACCCAACATGTCGGAAAAAGCAAAATCAAAAACAGAATCTTGATTGACTTGTAAACTCAATCAGGTGTAGCTATTCACCTTCTCAATGGCACACAAAGACTTTCAACTGTGATCAGGTGTGGTCATTTGATTGATAATTAGGTCAGCATGACAAGAGCTTTCCTGGAGCATTTCCGTCCCTCGTAGTGCAACTGAAGCAAACAATTGACTATGGGGCACTGTCAAAAGATCTCTGGGATAAAGTTGTGGACAGGCACAAGTCAGGAGTTGGATAAAAAAAAATTGAAGGCTTTATCAATGCCTAGAAGCACAGTGAAGTCTATTCTTAAGAACTGGAAGGTATTTGGTACAACATAGACCCTCCCTGGATCAGGATGTCGTTCCAAACTGGATGAAAGAGCCAGGAGGAAACTGATTAGAGAGGCTATCAAGAGGCTTACAGCAACTGAAGCATTTGCAGGAATTTATGGCAAAGAGTGGTCATTGTGTGCATGTGCGCATATCACACATTCTCCACAATTGTGGCTTGTATGGGAGGGTTGCAAGAAAAAAGCCTCTCCTCAAGAAAGGCCAGATGCAGTTACGACTGAGCTTTTCCAAAACGTACCTTGAAGTTTTGGAGGCCACGTGGAAAAAGGTGCCGTGTAAGACTAAAATTTGAATTGTTTGGCCTCAACACTAAACGATATGTCTGTCCGAAATCCAATCCACCATCCAGATAACACCATTCCTACAGTAAAACATGGAGGTAGTAATATCCAGTTATGGGGGGGTTCTCTGCAGCAGGGACTGGAGCACTTGTCAGGATAGAAGGAATAATGGGTGGGGCAAAATACTGTCCAATTCTTGAGGAAAATCTGCTGCCCTCTGCCAGAAAGTTGTCAATAGGAAGAAGGTTTACATGACAATGACCCAAAGCACACAGCAAAAATTACCACAGAATGGTTCTAGGAGAAAGAGAGGTGAATGTGTTTGCATGGCCTAGTCAGAGCCCAGACTTAAACCCCATTGAGAATCTGTGGAATGACTTTAAGATTGCAATCCACAGACAGTCACCAACAAATATATCTGAACTTGAGCAGTTCTGCAAAGTAGAGCGAGCAAACATTGCAAAGTCTAGATGTGCAGTTAGTAGAAACATAACGCAACAGACTAAAGGCTGGAATTAAAGCAAAAGTGGTTCAACAAAATACTGACACAAAGTGGGGGGGGAGTGATCCTTTTTCCAACTCGGTGATTCTGTTTTTGATTTTTTTTTTGCTTGCATGTTGGTGTTATATCTTTCACTTGGATGTTATAAGTTGCACTGGGTAAATACAGCCGGATAAAACAAAAACTGACTTCATTTTAGGCTGCAAAACAACAAAATGTGATTATTTTAAAGGGGGTGATTCTTTTCTATACCCACTGTATACAACAATACAAAACTGACATACCTATTTCATTGTAATCAATATGTTGTGTATTAAATATATACCACTATATATGACAAAGAGCTTTCCTAGTTTGTATTTATTGAACCCCCAAAATTGTAAAACCTAAAATCTCTATGCTATACAGTTGTTACATTCTAATGCAGTTACTACCTGAAGCTGAGCCCCTCCTGTTTACATTTGTCCTACACAGCGTTGGGTGGACAGACAAACCAACATCTCTTATGTATTCAGTTTGAGAGTTTTTTTGGATTAAATAACTGTGGTGCAGCTTGCTCCTTCAAGAAACAGACCTGAAGCTGAGCCCCTCCTGTTTACATTTGTCCTACACAGCGTTGGGTGGACAGACAAACCAACATCTCTTATGTATTCAGTTTGAGAGTTTTTTTGGATTAAATAACTGTGGTGCAGCTTGCTCCTTCAAGAAACAGACTGAGACTGTTGCCACTGTGCAGTTTTCACATACACAGTGGCAACAGCAAGTGGGGAGACACAGGGCTGGGTATACCTTTTTAATGAGCCTGCCTGCCTGGTATGCCCAAGATTTACCGTTGGTTAACGGCTAAGTTCACTAAGAACTGATATAACTGACTAGCGTCTGTTTCACATAGATCACAGCTACTCTAGCTCTCCAGAACTCCATTGGCAAAAAGGTCCAGTAACCATTGTTAATTTGTCCATATCCATTCACCATGTGTGTGTTTTTGTTTCTTGCAGTTTCCATCGCTGCCACTGCCATTTATGCATATGCCTGGTTGGTGCCTCTGGCTCTCTGGGGCTTCTTATCGTGGAGACACAGTAAAGTGATGAGCATGGTGTCCTACTCTTTCTTGGAAATAGTGTGTGTTTATGGATACTCGCTCTTCATTTACATCCCCACTTCAGTAAGTCCATCCGGCAGCCATTAGTGAACGTGTTATCTGGTTCTTTTTCTTATAAGCATTAATTATAGAAACAAGGAGCTCCAGTTAGACACAGTACACCTAAAATATGCAGTAACCTTTGCCTTGCAGAAGGAAGAGCACATGATACAGTATGTTCCTCTCTGCCAGCACAAACACACCATGCCAGGCTCTGCCAGAGTAACCTACAGTCCGATTTATATGAAGCAGGAAATATTTGTTAACAACAATCATAAAGAATAAATATTCTGAGCCCAAATGTTCCAATAATATATTCTTCAGTTTTTTTTAAGAAATGTATAGTCATAAAGTAGAAATTTATTTTGTCCTGCCTTTTTGCCATTATGGATAAAGATGATACAGTACTATACCATGCAGTGAATCTGTATTCTTCCCAAACCTGCACTGAAATCTTACTAAGAGTGCATATTTTGTAGGTGACTTCACATGCACACTTGTGGAGTAATCTGTGCCTCAGCAATCTAATTTTGCTTGTGTATTAATAAAAAAAAAAAAAAAAAAAAGAATCTTGAAAAGAACTGTTGCCATGACTTAAGGATGGGTTGAGGAAACACCACTATAAGTAAACCAATGCTTATTCATATAGCCCAGTGTGCAGTACAGATATATGTGAGATGTTGGAATAAATCACAGCTCTAGCCAAAACTTAAAGCAGAACTTGTGTCAAAACTTTTATTTTCCTATGCAGTGAGGCTGTGCCTGCACTGCATGGGTTAAGTGCTTGATTTGTCCAGTGGCTCAGAGAAAAGCTGTGCTTACCCATTCCTCTGATCCTCTGGAAAACCGTGCTTCCCCACGTCCAACGGTGGACTGTTCCTGCTGTCCTCACGTCTGGAGCTGGTCTATGGGTGCTAGGACATCAGATACAGCCCATTCACAAGACCGCTAGTATACAGGAAGAGCAGCAGCAGCAGCGGCAGGGAACGGACTTGTGCTTGGAGGATCGGCGGATTAGGTAAGTATATCGTTGCTTTCCAAGCCCCTAGGAAAAAACGAGCCTTTAACCCATAATAAATACTTTTGCATGGAATTCTTCTTTAAGCCTAGTACACATGAAGAGAGTATCGGACTAAAGATCGTCCATTTTTTTTTTTTCCTGCTGGTCTCATATCAAAATCGAATAGGTTACTAGAGTTACGAAAATTTTCATAAGACAGAATACAACTTCCCAGGATGATGTAATGTTTTGTATTGTATCATAATGTAATCTTTCGTTTCGGAGCATGCGCGGTCTTGGTCACTCGATTTTTTTATTTATTTTTTTATACAGAAAAATACTGTACTGATTACACAAAGATCATTCATTCTGTTGTCTTACAATAAACATTTTCATACTTGTCCCTTTGGATAATTTTTGCTTGAATTTTCCTGATCGGTTCTCAAAAGCTGTGTACTAATGATCAGATTATTGGAGGATCATCCTGAAAATGTTTTTTTTGTCGTCCAATATTCTCATCGTACTCATCGGCTTTAATCAGTTGTGGTCATCATGGAAAGAGGTTAGGACATCTGTGAGGTTTTAAATGTTGTCTGTCTCCCTGGTAAGAAGACTTCCCTTTCCTTTCTGTTTTGATATCCATCACAGGGCAGGAAGTCAGGTGAAACGTCCCCCAGCTGGATCCAGATGGCATTGAAAACTTGACAGAGATTTTAAGAGCATGGAAGGGTCAGAAAAGAACCCCCATTTCTGCCACTTATTATTTGACAGAATCGATCAAACCAGAAATTGAGAGTAAATTTCCCCAAGCGGTACAGTAAAAATAGTTGTTTTTTTTTTTCTGGAGTTAGGCCTTAACATGTCATGCACTTCTTCTTTTTCTCTGTTGATAATGTAAAAATAAATCTTAAAATAATTTGTTAGATATCTGAGCAGTGTTCTGCCCATATTCTGAATGCCCTCTCTAGCAGGGATGCTTGCTAGGGCAGGCAGTCTAAATCAATGGTGTGTAGAACTTGAAGGGGTCAGCTCAGTACAGTCTTCTTTTTTTTTTTTTGGACTGGGTGCTTGGCTGTTGTTTGACAGGGATCAGAGTTTAACTGTGTTACATAGCCTAAGGCTTGTTGGACATGATGTTGGATGCAGAAGTGAATGCACATAGCTTTTTGGCCAGTCTTCAAATAATTTAATTCTGTGGGGAGCAGTGTTGGTCAACAGGCTTGCAGTGTTAGTTCCATCCTAAACAAGGAAGGCCATGGTGCGTTTGGGTGGCTTCTGTGCAGAGTGAAACGAACACCTGAGTTTTCTAAACTCATTTATGTGGGCTAAGCAAAGAGGCTGAATACACTATTTCCAGCCTAAGGACCATGTGGAGCACCGTTATGACAATCCATGGGTATTCAGCCTAAGCTTCACACAAAGATACATTAGTCACAGTTGATCCATAGTAGAGATGAGTGACGGTTTATTGTTGTCTAGTTTTGTTTCTATTTTAAATCCAAAGCAAATGCTAACTTATCAAATAATAAATAAGGGTCAAACTCCCACTTGGTAATGTACATGTTGTTAAGTAAAAGAAGCAGTAAGTAAATACAAGATTCATTTTACATTGTGAACCCATTTGAAGTGTAATCTGTACAGTTTAATCTCTATAATTCTTTTTAAAGCAATAAAAGCGACTTGGCAGAAGAGTGAGATATTTATTGCCTCTGAGTGAGATATAACCTGATGATGGTGAGGTTTTTCTCCTGGGTTCATTCTCAGTGGAATGAAGACAGATAAATGCTGCTCAGTTAGGTTATCTGTCCACTCACATGCAGGAGTAGTGTAAACATTAGACTGGAGAGGGCTCAGCTGAAGTGATGATATAGCATTTTAAGGAATGTCTTTCTTTTAAAAGAGATGTTCAGGAATTTAAAAAAAAAAAAAAAAAAAAAAACAATCATACTCGCCTAGATGGCTACAGCACTGATCCCATCTGCAGGTGTCCCCTGTCGGCTCTTCCCCAAGAACTGAGAGATCAAACATCGCTGATTGCTTAGTTCTCCCTCTCCTCTCTGAGCAGACATCAGTCCCTGGCTTTCTGCTCTGCCCCTCCTGTGCTCACTGGAGTGCCGGGCTGTGGAGGGGGTCGGGGGGGCTGGCTCAGGCTCTCAGTGGCATGCTGAGAGGCTGAACCAGCTGCCAGCCCAGGCATCTGGGTTGATCCTGACTGTAAAGTTGGGATCTTTCTCCAGACCGGAACGGCTGTGTGACATCAGTTGACAGAGGGCTAAAGCTCTGAAAACTGGTCACAGGAATGCAGAACAAACTGCACTCCTGGTGTCTATTGGAAGAGCTTTGTATATCGTTCTCCTTTTAATTACGAAGAGAAGATAGGATACATTTTTATAACTACTCATTTTACACTAATCTGAGTTCCTTGTATGGCACTGTAGCAAAATTCCAATAAGCACTTCACAGGGTTTCTTAAGTTGTACTTCCTGAATTCTGTGCTACTCCACTTCCTCTCTGCTTCTGGGTCATCAATAACACAAACGCTTTTAAGAATCTGATTGGTGGCTGTGAAAAAAAAAACTCTTTTTTTACAACTGGCTTCTGTATGTGAGAAATGGCAAGGAGTCTGCCCTGAGTGTGTTAGGGGAAAGCTCTTGTTTTATAAGCAGGGGCTTTTATATTATAAGGTTACCATCAAAAAAGCAGCAGGGTGGACTAGAACAGTGCAGCAATACCTGGATGAAAAACAGGGTATTGAGTAGGTTGGTCGGAAGGCTTTGTCCCCTGCATAAATGTCAAGGTTTAAATTAAGAAGAAGAAAAAGCTCCTGCACTCACAAGACCAGTTTGGGCATAAGTGGACCAAGATTCTTCCAAATTTCCATTCAATCAAGTCAGGCAAAACTATGCAGCCTCCTTAAGGCTGGGGAAGTCCAGAAAAGACACTAAAAACAAAACAAAAAAAAGGGCGCCCAAGCCTTGCACATTACTTCAACACAAGTCTTTTATTAATAGAGTAAAACAAATACTCGCAGACATCATGATTCACAAGCATATCATGACCGACACTGGCCCGGGTTAGTTAAAGTGCTGAGTGGATTCCAAAACCAAGAAAAGATTTAAAACTGATGCGTTTCGAGGACTGCTCTCCCACTCGAAATGCGTCAGATGTTTTCAAGTGTCTCTGGTTTTGAAATCCACTCAGCACTTTGTCACTCGGGCCAGTGTGATATGCTTCGGAATCTTGATGTTTGTGAGTATATATCTGTTTTCCTTTCTTTTTCTTATTTTTCAGTTACTTTTATTATTTATATATATATATATATATATATATATATATATATATATATATATATATAAGGCTCCGCATATAAACATTTCTTGCTAACATAAAGACAGCTTTGACCTTTTTGTATTTCTGTTTGCCCTGCAGCTGTTTCTTTTCTCTTCATTTTACATTAAGATTGGGCCTTTATTTATAGTTGATCAATCAAAAGCTTTCAGTTGGCCAACTAGAAAGTCACCAATTGCCCAATAATGAACTACGACTTGTACTAACATACCCATATTACTAAATCTATGATCTATAACAGCCTGCGCGCTGTGTTTCCCATGTCTAGTCTTTCTCTTTTCTAATTGCTTTCTTTTTTTCAGGTTCTGTGGATCATTCAATCAGAAATCCTGCGCTGGGTCCTCATGTCTTTAGCCATGTGTTTGTCTGGAGCTGTGCTCATGCTCACATTTTGGCCAGCTGTGCGGGAAGATAACCGAAAAGTTGCCATCTCCACCTTAGTGGCGATAATGCTGCTCCATGTACTGCTGGCAGTTGGTTGTGGGGTAAGAGAACACCATATTGTCCATGAGCTAAGGAGTCGTATTAGAGGCAAGGGAGGGATGATACATGATTATGCAGAGGTATAATAGGCAAGTGTGTGACTCTCCAACGTTAGTCCATTTATTAGGACCTATACAACAGCTGTAGAATAATATTTTTTAAATTCACACTCAAAAGAGGCCCAACTTTTAAAACTTTTTTTATCCCAAATCTGTTTGTTAAAATGCTGTTGCTGTCTAGAAAACTCATTCTGAAGTGAGACAGTATTGACTGCCATGGTGTTGAAGAGGTAGAAGTTCTGCATATCTAGAAGCTGAACTCCTGGCAAACAGCTAACTACACAGTTGGAATGGGATCTAATGTTTCTTTGCTGAGGTTTTGCTTTCACTTTTCACAGCTCTCCTCCCCACCCTTTGACTGGATGGTGAAGGGAGAAGCAGCACACTGATGAGCTAATCTCTATGCTCATTCCACCTATCAGCATGCTTCTTGCCCAAGTTTGCTTTGATGTTCCATTCATCTGAATTAAACCTTTTGACTGATAAGGGATAAGTCGCTGATGTTTGATGACTAAGGCTCAGTTCACACTAATTCAACGAGATTTTGATGTGATTTTCAGTGCGGCTTTGGTTGCATTTAGAATGTGGTTTACATATTCTGTGGAGCCAGACTGCACTGTAAATCACACCAAAGTAGTACAGGAACCTTTTCCAAAATCCCACTGCACAGAGTCGCATTGATGTGAACCAGCACCATTGAAAATAGATTTCTTTTGTTATGCTATTCTGTGCGACTCAGTTTGCATTTGAAATCGCACTAGTGTGAACCAGGCCTCATTCAGTTCTGTAAACCATGGGCTTCTTTCAGAAAACTTAAGAATGATTCAATACTTCATAGATGAAAGGGGGGACTAGAACTCCACTCGCTGACGACTTAATGATAACATATAATTACCATGCATTATTATTATTTTTCTATTACCCCACTTTGCCATTTACACAGTGTTGGGAAAAACAGCCGATGTGGTGCAGGACCTGAGAATAGTTCATTTCTGGGAATTTTACTATCAAACATTCCATAGGTTCTTTCTTTAGAAAAGACCAGTTTCATAACCTTGTAGAGTTCATGTTTCTGTCTTAAATAAATTCTGTAAGTAATTCTGTATGGAGAGACCAGACAGGACCACGCTGAGCAACAGTCTTATAAATGAAATTGCTTGAGTGGCGTTTTGCAGACGGAACCACTGCTAACAAGATTGTAAATATTGCTGTGAAAATGGTTTTTCTGTTTGTGTTAAAAATGTCACTGTAAATTTTGAAATATCATCACCAATGCTGATGCCATTTTTGTAGGAAAAGCATCATTTCTTTTTTTTTTTTTTTCTTCAATTTAAAGGAATATTTCTTTGATGAACCAGAAATTGATCGCACTCTGCACTCTGTCACATCTATAGTCGGCACAACAAAGGGGGAAGTGCAGAGTCATTGACAAGAGGTAATGGTTCTGTCCAATAGAAAAAAAAAAATCAAACAAAAAACTATTTGCTTCTAAAGTGATCACATAACCTAATTGCAGTAAAATTTCACAAAAGCAATATGAAATTTCCAGTAACAAAATTGTTGCTGGTAATGGGGTCTCAGTATCTCCTATAGGCACCAATATCCTTTTTGTCATATCTAATAGGTCTCATCCTCCACAGGCTACATGAAAAGTGTAATGTTATCAGATAAAGAGGGTTCAAAGAAAGGAAAAAGTTAACAGTGCAACTCGTGTTTATTATAGGTTTCACCACTATGAAGGTCACAGACAGGGCCATCTATACCATAGGGGAGCAACACATTTTTGTTTAAAATTTCGACGTGTGTGTGTGTGTGTGTGTGTGTGTCCGTCCGTCCGTCCGTCCGTCCGTGTGTGTGTGTGTGTGTCCGTCCGTCCGTCCCCCCCCCCTCCCGGCCAGCAGAACACGATGATTACTGCTAGTGGCTATAGCCGCTGGCAGTTATCACATATAAAACATATGACAGGCTAGTTGTATTGTAAAGCGCTGAGCAAACTGTTGGTGCTATATAAATCCTGTATAATAATAGTTGTAGTGAAGTGGATCAAATTGGGTGCAGTCAGCCTTGACCATACATGGATTGAATCTCGGGCGCTGCTGAACCAGACAAATTTTGATCCTTGTATGGCTGGCGTAAGGTTGACTACAGATATTGTTATAAGAACAGCAGGGAGATATCTAGTTGTTCCTTTAAGTGTCACATGAGTGTCAGGACCTACCTCTTTTACTTTAAAACTTTGGATCCTTCAGTCTTCTCTAAGGCTAGGTTCACACCTATGTAGGTTGCGTTTGAGCCGTTTCTGCATTATGTTTTGCACTTGTGTTTCTGCCCGTGTTTTTGATGCGTTTTAAATTTTTTCTTTTTTTTTTTTCTTGTTGCTAGACCGATTTAAAATGCACAACACATGATTTTTCTGCAGCATTTCCATTGAAGTCTATAGAACCAAAAACAGAAATTTGTGCGTTAAAAAAAGTCCCTGACCCTTTCCAAAAAACACACTGGGGTAAAACGCGGAGATGTGAACATGTCCCATAGGAAATCTTGTTAAATGGACCGTACTGCGTTTTTGCAAAACGCTGCGGAAAATGCTTAGGTGTGAACCTAGGGTGAATAAGACTGATTGTTGGAAAATCTCTGACAGGGCCTGACAATTTGGAATATGTTGGTGTGAAGTATTGAGACCCTCTGACTGAACTTTTTCTCTGCTGGTGCATTAGAAATGGCCCAGTAATTGTAAGCATAACCTGCTTTTATTAGGTTGTTTGTAGAAGTAACAGTGAGCAGGGATGAAAACATTTTATCTTGGTGCTGTAAAGTGGCTGATGAGATCATAGGTGACATCTTTTCATTACCGTCTCATGTGGCACAATGACAGAAATGTAACTGCTTCCAAACAGATCACTTTGTCACACAATAGGATGCACCCAAGAAAGTCTGACCATTGCTTAGGTTGTTTGTCACCACAGTAGCCCTCTTCTATAATAACCTTTGCAGCTTTTAATTGTAATCCATGAATACAAAAGCTATTAATACAAAGCAAAAGTGCACTTTGTTACACAAATAAGTTTGTGTAAACAAAAAAGTGTATATTGCATTTCCAAGAACCACTATAGACACAGGCTTAAAGTGTTACTAAACCCCCAACAGTAAAATCAGTCTGTATATGCAGTAAAGCATGCTTGTTATACCCACTGTGGAACCTAAGGGGTTAATCCTCCACATTGTGTAAAAACGCTGTTTGATCCTGATTTCTCTGATCCTTCCCCTTCTTCCAGTGTCCCCCTCCTATCTCCTGATAAGACATGTATTGTGTGGAGTCACTCTGCACATGCTCAGTTTGGAGTGTATTGTTAGGTTTTTTTTTTTTTTCTTGGGAGATTGCATGTGATCAGCACAGGGCCAATCAGCACTGTCCAGACAGAGGACAAAGGTCCTGCATCCTCCTAGAGCAAAATGAAAACTCCTTTTACAAGCTTTAACCAGTGCTCAGCTGAACACTGATGGAAGTCACAAGATTGCTCTAACTGCTGATGAGTAAAGGTATTTAGCAGTTTATATTTACTAAAATAATTGCACTTCCATGTTCTGTGTATTGTGGGAGACCAGACATAGTGAATGCAGGGTCCTGGGTTTAGTAACACTTTAAGCCTCGTACACACAATAAGAAAATCGTACGAAAAATACCGCTTTTGAAGTTACCGTACGATAATCTGATCGTTCGTACACAGCTTTCGAGAGCTGATCACGACAGTTCATCCGAAATTATCCGAAGGGACAAACAAGAAAAAGTTTGTTGTACTAATTAAATGAAAATCGTTATGATCTAGTATTGTATAATACAAACACAACACAATACATTACAAAATTCTATCCTATCACACGAGAATGTTGAGTAACCTTTTCATTTTTGATATGGAGACAAGCATGCAAAAGAAAACTGGACGATCATTCGTCTGATATTCTTACAGTGTGTACGAGGCTTTATAGTGTAATTCCAGTAAAAACCTAACTAAGCTAAAATCTACTCCCACCCCCATTATACAGTACGCCTATTCTATATACCCTGTAAAAGGAAAGATGTGTATACGTACCTATTCTGAAGTCGCTCTGGTCATATTTAAAATTCCCTGTACCTATTTTTATTTTGCAGAGTCTTGGACCTATCTTGTTTATGGAGAGCAGGGCTGGACGCTCATGCTGGATTGGTGAATAGGACACTGGATATCAGCTCTGCCTCATAAACCGCTTTGTCACAATTTTTTTTTTTTTTTTTTTTTTAACGGTCTAAAATATTTTTGAGTGGCTCTATTTGTGTTGTATAATATTCTGGGTGACAACTGGGAATAGTCCAGAAGGAGTAGAAGGGAAACACTACTATATTACTAGATTATCTATGCTAATAGACTGTAAGAGGGTTCATCTCTTCTGATTTATAGAAACACTATGCCTAAAAGACTCACTAAGAACATTCTCAACTACATATGTAAAGGGAAAGGGAGATAACTGATGTGTATATATAGAGCTGAGGGCATTCTTCAGAATATCTTTCTACTATCTTCAGTTCTAATATGCTCTGTAGCTCCAAAAAAAACCTTTTTGTTTCTTTTCCATTTTCTTTTCTTTCCTGTTTTGCTTTTTTTTTTTTTTTTTTTTTTTTTTTTTTTTTTTTTTTTTACAGTATTGGAATGTTTAGATCCCCTGTCAGATTTTTGTGGACTGTATCATTCTCACATCCTGTTCTGTTCTGATGACCACCATATATTCAGTACACCCTGTTCATACAGGTGGTTAAATGGGGTGGCAGGTAGTTCTGACTGCAAGGCATCCTCCCCCCCCCCCCCCCCCCCCATCCTTGATCTGTTAAGACCTATTAAATCAAATGATACAGTACACAAGTGAGAATTTGAAGTGAGAATTTCAGTATAGCAACCTAAAGGTTGCATGCAGTGTTCAAGCCTTGATTCCCTATTTCTCAGAATTGATTCTGCCAGTAGAGTGAGTTTACTGCAGGTGGAAGGAAACACCAC